GAGGAAATCCAGATAATCATCAGGTCATATTTTGAAAACCTGTACTACTCAAAATTTGAAAATCTAAAGTAAATGGACAATTTTCTGGATAGATATCACTTACCAAAATTAAATCAAGAACAGATAAGCAATTTAAATAGACCTATAACCCCTAATGAAATAGAAGCAGTCATCAAAAATCTCCCAACCAAAAAAAGCCCAGGACTAGATGGCTTCAGTGCAGAATTCTACCAGAATGCAAGGAACTGCTAACAATAATTCTCCTCAAAGTATTCCACACAATAGAAGCAGAAGGGTCATGGCCAAACTGTTTTTACGAGGCTTCAATAACCTTGATCCCCAAGCCACACAAAGACACATCCAACAAAGAGACCTACAGACCAATATCCCTCATGAACCTTGATAAAAAATACTCAATAAAATAATGGCAAATCGAATCCAAGGACATATCAGAGACATCATCCACCATGATCAAGTAGGCTTCATCCCAGGGATGCAAGGGTGTGTCAACATACGAAAATCCATCAATGTAATCCACTATATAAACAGACTGGGAAAAAAACATGTTCATCTCACTAGATGCCAAAAAAGCTTTTGACAACATCTAACACCCCTTCATGATAAAGGTCTTGGAGAGATCAAGGATAACAGGAACATACCTTAACATAATAAAAGCAAACAAAAAAAGCCCAAGGCCAGATGGCTTCAGTGCAGAATTCTACCAGAAATTCAAAGAAATGCTAATACCTATTCTCCTCCACACAACAGAAGCAGAAGGGTCATTGCCAAACTCGTTTTACCAGGCTTCAATAACCTTGGTACTCAAGCCACACAAAGTCACAACTAAGAAAGAGAACTACAGACCAATATCCCGCATGAACATTGATGCAAAAATACTCAATAAAATACTGGCAAATCGAATCCAAGAACACATCAGAAAAATCATACAACCATGATCAAGTAGGCTTCATACCAGGGATGCAGGGATGTTTCAACATACAAAAATCCATCAATGTAATCCACCATATAAACAGAGAAAGAAAAAAAATCACATGATCATTTCACTAGATGCTGAAAAAAACCTTTGACAAAATCCAACACCCCTTCATGATAAAGGTCTTGGAGAGATAAGGAATAACAGGAACATACCTAAAAATAATAAAAGCAATATACAGTAAACCAACAGCCAGCATCAAACTAAATGGACAGAAACTCAACATGATTCCTCTTAAACAAGGAACAAGACAAGGCTGTCCACTCTCTCCATACCTCTTCAATATTGTACTTGAATTTCTACCTAGAGCAATTAGACAACAAAAGGAGATAAAGGGGATACAAACTGGAAAAGAAGAAGTCAAACTTTCACTATTTGCAGATGATATGATAGTTTACATAAATGACCTGAAAAACTCTGCCAGGGAACTCCTACAGCTAATAAACACCTTCAGCAAAGTGGCAGGATACAAGATTAACTCAAAAAAATCAGTAGCCCTACTATATACAGATGATAAATAGGCTACGGAAGAAATGAGAGAAACATCACCCTTTACAATTGCCACATAAACATAAAATACCTCGGGGTAATGTTAACCAAACAAGTGAAAGACCTGTATCACAAGAACTTTGAGTCTTTAAAGAAAGAAATTAAAGAAGATACCAGAAAATGGAAAGATCTCCCATGCTCTTGGATAGGTAGGATCAACATAGTAAAAATTGCAATCTTACCAAAAGCAATCTACAGATTCAATGCAATCCCCATCGAAATCCCAGTACAGTTCTTCACAAATCTGGAAAGAATAATTCTCAACTATATATGGAGAAACAAAAGACCCAGTATCTCTAAAAGATCCCTGTACAATAAAGGAACTTCCAGAGGCATCACCATCCCTGACCTCAAGCTCTATTATAGAGCTACAGTCCTGAAAACAGCTTGGTATTGCACAAAAATAGACAAGTAGACCAATGGAATCTAATTGAAAATCCTAATATTAACCCACACACTTTCAAACATCTGAATTTTGACAAAGAAACTAAAATTATACAATGGAAAAAAGAAAGCAAATTCAACAAATGGTGCTGGCATGACTGGATGCAGGCGTGTAGAAGACTGAAGATAGATTCGTATCCATCGCCATGCTCAAAACTTAAGTACAAATGGATCAACATAAATCCAGCCACACTGAACCTCTTAGAAGAGAAAGTAGGAAATACCCTGGAATTAATGGGTACAGGAGACTGCTTTCGGAACATAACACCAGTAGCACAGACACTGAGATCGACAATTAATAAATGGGACCTCCAGAAACTGAGAAGCTTCTGCAAGGCAAAGGACACAGCGAGACAAAACGGCAGCCCACAGAATGGGAAAAGATCTTCACCAACCCTACATCTGACAGAGGCTGATTTACAAAATATACAAAGAACTCAAGAAGCTAGTCCCCAAAACACCAATTAAAAAGTTGGGTACAGCTGGGCATTGGTGGTGCACATCTTTACTCCCAGCACTTGGGAGGCAGAGGTAGGTGGATTTCTGTGAGCTTGAGGCCAGCCTGGTCTTCAGAGTGAGTTCCAGGACAGCCTCCAAAGCAATACAGAGAAACCCTGTCTCTTTAAAAAAAAAAAAAAGTGGGGTACAGAACTAAATAGAGAATTCTCAATGGAAGAATCTAAAATGGCTGAAAGACACATATGGAAGTATTCATAAACCTTAGCCATCAGGGAAATGCAAATCAAAACAACTCTGAGATAGCAGCTTACTCCTGTCAGAATGGCCAAAATCAAAAACACCAATGATAGCTTATGCTGGAGAGGATGTGGAGAAAGAGGAACACTCCTCCACTGCTGATGGGAGTGCCAACTTGTGCAGCCGCTTTGGAAATCAGTATGGCGATTCCTCAGGAAAATGGGAGTCAGTTTACCACAAGATGCAGCAATTCCACTCTTAGGCATATACTCAAAAGAAGCACATTCATACAACAAGGGCATCTGTTCAACTATGTTCATAGCATCATTATCTGTAATAGCCAGAACCTGAAAGCAACCTAGATGCCCCTCAACTGAAGATGGATGGAGAAAATGTGGTACATTTATACAATGGAGTACTACTCAGAGAAAAAAACAATGGAATCTTGAAATTTGCAGGAAAATGGATGGAACTAGAAGAAATCACCCTGGGTGAGGTAACCCAGTCACAAAAAGACAAACATGGTATGTACTCACTCATATATGGATTTTAGACCTAGAGCAAAGGATTACCAGCCTACAATCCACACTGCCAGAGAAGCTAGAAAACAAGGAGGACCCTAAGAGAGACATACATGGTCTCACGAAGAAGGGGAAATGGACAAAATCTCCTGAGCTAATGGGGAGCATGGAGGTATGGAAGAGGGAGCTAGAAGAAAGAGAAGGAGAGAAGAGGAGGGGAGAGGAGGACATGAGCGAGGAGGAAGATTTCATCAGGGGAAGAATTGAGGGGAGCAAGAAAAGAGATACCATGATAGAGGGAGCCATTATAGGTTTAAAGAGAATTCTGGCACTATGGAACTGTCCAGAGATCTACAAGTTTGACCCCAACTAACAATCTAAGCAGTGGTTGAGAGGCTACCTTAAATGCCCTTCTCCGATAATGAGATTGATGACTACCTTACATGCCATCCTAGAGCCTTCATCCAGTAGCTGATGGAACCAGAGGCAGACACCCACAGCTAAACATGAGCTGAACTCTGGAATCCAGTTGCAGAGAGGGAGGAGTGATGAGCAAGGGGGTCAGGACCAGGCTGGAGAAACCCACAGGGACAGCTGACCTGAACAAGGGGTTGCTCATGGAACCCAGACTGATAGCTAGGAAACAAGCATAGGACTGATCCACATCCCCTGAACTAAGATGTCAGTTTGGAGGTCTGGGCAATCTATGGGGCCTCTGGTAGTGGATCAGTATTTATCCCTAGTATAGGAATGGACTTTGGGAGCACACTCCACATAGAGGGATACTCTCTCAGCCTAGGCCCTGCTCCAAATGATATGACAGACTTTGAAGATACCCCATGGAAGGCCTCACTCTCCCTGGGGAGAAGAACGGGATTGGAATGGAGGGGGGGCAGGGGAGGAAAGGAGGGAGAGGGAACTGGGATTGACATGTAAAAAAAGCTTGTTTCTAGTTTAAAAAAAAAAAAGTGATGACAAAAGGAAACAGCATCTGTTAAATTATTGTACCCAATGCCCCAATAGAATTTCTTCTATAATGTTAATGCTTTGAATCTTCCCTAAGATCAGTGGGGAATGAACTATCCAAAGTGACACCAGTTTGTCTGAGTTTCATCTAACTTCCCCCACCCTCAAATTGTTCTCATCATCAGAACTGAAACTGGTGAGCCTCTGTCATGCCTGGATCTCTATGATGCAATTGTGGGTTTGGCTTTATGAACCCAACATTGCTCACATTGGTGTAGAGATCCTCCTGGCATGAGTCTGCTGTCAACCTCTGTAAAGAAATGATGAAATGGCTCTCAGTCTGACCAGCACTGACTTCTCTTTCCCTGAGACTTACACTACAGTGGAGGCTCAACAAAAAGAAAAACCTTGGAGGTCCCTGTAAATAGAAGCCCAGCTCTCTGTTGACAAATGAGAAGCTGAAGAGACTTAAACCATCATGAACATCTGAGAGATGTGCTTTGACAAGACATAAAGAGAGACCTAAAGAATGATTCCCATAGAATCATGTTTCAGGCTGGAGAGATGGCTCAGAGTTTAAGAGCACTGACTGCTCTTTCAGAGGTCCTGAGTTCAATTCCCAGCAACCACATGGTGGCTCACAACCATCCGTTATGAGATCTGGTGCCCTCTTCTGGTGTGCAGATATACATGGAAGCAGAATGTTGTATACATAATAAATAAAATCTTCAAAAAAAAAAAAAAAAAAAAAATCTAGGCACAAGGGAAAGCCTGCCTTTCTGTGGGATATTTGGACCTAACTCTGCCCCTGACCCCTCATTCCTACACACCTGGGTGCACAGTGGCTGCTGCTTGTCTCTTTACACCTGAAGGCTCTTGTTTTTGCTCCAGAAATGTCACCAGGTGTGGCTTAGGCACAGCAAGACCTGTTTGTAGAAAAGGGAACAGGATTGGTTGAGTGTTCTACTGGGAATTGACATGTCCCTTCCAGTGCATGGCTCCTAAGGAGTGGATGTAATAAATGACTCCAGACAATCAGTTCCTTAACTGTTTTTTGGCAGGATCACTACAGTACAAAAAGAAATTTAAAACATCCAGATTCTCTGTTTCATTTAAAGGGAAAAAACATGAAAATTGAATTAGGAAAGGCTTTCATTAATAACTGTTCTTTGTCTCATGCCATTTAATTTCTAACAGTCCCACTAGACTGAGAGAAATAAACATGCAACATACAAAGGTTAAACACAAAAAGAGAAAAACTGAAATGATTCTTTTTTAAAATAATTTAATTTTATTTTATATGTGCATTGGTGTTTTTCCTGCATGTATTTCTCTGTGAAGGTGTCAGACCTTGGAATTACAGACAGCTATAAGCTGCCGTGCGGCTGCTGGAATTGAACCTCTGTTCACTAAGCCATCTCTCCAGCACCAAAAGTATTCTTAATAAAGAAAAAACCCTTAATTTTTCTGAAAATGAAGGAATTGAAACTTGCTGTTGAAATGTTCCCATGAGATACAGTATGAAGTGAGTAAGACACATGTTGATGGTGAAATAAGAATTCACTGTGAATGAGTTCCTCACCCAGGAAATCAAGGTGGCTGTAATTCTCCAACATCACATCCCTGTACAGATTCCACTGAGCAGGCTCCAAACATTCCCTCTCTTCTGGAGAGAACTCAATGGCCACATCCCAGAAGGACAGCATTTCCTGAAACAAACACCAATTTATGAAAACACACATTAATTTAATTAAAGCCAGTAATAATATAAATACCAAGATGCATTGGGCTGGATAGTTCTTCTGTCAACTTGACATTAGCTAGGGCAATTTGAGAAGAGAGAAACATAATAGAGAAAATGTCTTCCTAATACTGTCCTGTAGCCAAGCCTGGAGGGCATTTTGTAATTAGTGATTGATATGAGACAGCACAGTTCACTATGGGTGGTAGCCACCCTGGGCAGGTGATCCTATATGGTGTAGAAAAGCAGGCTGGGCAAGTCAGTAAGCAGTGTTCTTCTGTGGCCTCTGCTCCAGCTCTTGCCTCAGGTTACAGCCTTGACTTCCCTCAGGGATGGACAGTTACCTGAAGTTGCAGTCTACAATAAACCCCTTCTTCTCCAACCTGTCTTTCTTCAAGGTTTATCACAGCAATAGAAACCCTAACACAGGCATTGTGTGTCTATGGATACAAAGCTAGATTTTCCCCATCATGAAAGAGAGCTAAAATGTTTTCTGCATAGTTGAGTAATAGTCCTCAGACATGTCTGAAGTGGTCACATGATTTTAAACTGTATACATGTTTAATGAAAGACAAGGCAAGAAAAAATCCTGTAAGCCCAGTTGAACACACAATCCAATTAAGACAGAGGAAGTGTAAAATGAATGCATCCACAAAACATGCATTTAGTGCCATGTCCACCCATACACCACACACACATACACTTCAGAATTTCACACCGGTGAACCGTTGGGTCTCAGGTATTTCCTCTCTTAATTGTTTATCTTGAAGAGAAAATGAACACAATCAAGACTCAAGGCCCTATCACTAGTCAGGATAGTGTACAGGATGAGTCAGAAACCCTGTTTGCTCAGCTGATCATCATTGGCTTGCAGTCCTGGTCACCTCAGCTGACCATCACTAACTTGCAGTCCTGAACCTTGCGTTATCATCTGCTCCCAGGCAGCTCTCCTGTCCCAGAAGCCCAAGGCGGACTCGGGCTGCACGTCCTAAGTAACCATCTCTCAGGGCACAGTCCCATCGTCCTCTCCAAGCCCTGACCTGCAACCTCCCAAGTCCCAGCCAGTTCAGCCCAGTACCTCCCAGGCAGCTTCTCCGCCCTCCCCGCAGCCCAGGTCCGCTCCCTCCAAGACGGAACCCGCACCCGGCACAGAACCTCAGGCTGCGCTGCACCCTGGACCAACCTCCAAGTCAGAGACGCAGCAGGAGACGCAGCAGGGCAGACTGGTGCCCAAGTTTGGGGAAGAGGCACTTTTAGAGACCAACAACTGGATCGGGAGTTCCTGGACGTCTGCCTGTGACGTCACAGTCTCTTTGACTACATTTCCCAGAAGTCTGAGCGAAGGAATTCCTGAAGCCTGAGTAGTGATATTCATTGTTTTTGGACTTGTTTCTGACCTGCTGTAGAGGATAGTAGGAAGAAACAGAGTCGGCTGGACAGCTGTTGACCTGAGAAATACCAATTGCACGAATGTCTGATTAAAGTGTTGTGTCCACGTAGGGACAATTCCCTAGGACCACCAGGAAGACAGACTCACCGTTGTAACTGCATAAGGTTTATTTTTCTGTCCCACTGGGGTAGGTACTCAGTCCAGCAAGCTGAGGCTTCAGTCTCCAGAGGGAGTGAGTTCCTTGTATACTGCGAGGTTTTTTTAAAGGAAAAAACCTGCAGGGTTACATCAGCAGGAGGGGAAAGGTACGGGTTGCTTCCTGATTGGTTGACATTTAGGGGAATTTTTTCAAAGTCTCATTTTGGCATGAAATACTTGTTTATTGGCTATTCTCATTGGCTGGCTGTAGAAGGGAACATTCTGTGGTTTCAATGGCTTTGTCTTGTTACTTGCAGGTGGCCTGTTGTACATAGATACCAATAGTTTTCAGGAACTGAGTATCCTGGAGACTGAAGGGGAGAGTTTGGTCTCTGCTGAAGTTTTTTTTTTTTTTTTTTTTTTTTGTGGCCAAACACAGTTTCCAGGAACTAAGTATCCAGGAGGAGGGTCTGGAATTCCTTTGTGTTCAGTTTGGCCCTAGGTTCCAGGAGACTGGAGAGGTCTGGAGGTTCTTTGTGTTCATTTTTGGCCCCATGCCTTTTGCATAAAATACAATCTCCAGGAACTAAGAATCCTAGAGTCTAAGGGGGGCGGGGGAGAAGGGTGCTGGTAGTTCTTTTGTGACATGTGCTGAGTCAGAGGCCTACATGTCTTTTCTGAAGCCTGTCATGGCTGCTAAAGCAGGGAGCTGGGTGAAGGTCTGGTCCCTTCCAAAGCAAGCTTTATTTTACAGGAACACCAGGAAGTGGCCAGTTGGCTTTCTCTTCCAAAGTCAGTATTCAGAGAGCAGCCCTTCATTGCCTTTTGTGGTCCCATTTGGGGAAGTGTTCAGGTTCATAGAAAACAGCTGTCCTGATAATTGGCCATTAGAAAGGATGAAATAAAAAGAGAAAATGTGTTATAGAAAAGAGCTATCAAAATCATTGGCTGTTTGATAGGATGAATTTTAAAAATCTCAAATTCATTAATCCATCATGTAGGAGGGGACTCATAAAACTATCTAGAAAAACATTTTCTTAAGGCAAAAGTGCAATTGTTAGACCCCCGAAAACTCAAGTATCCGGGGTCCCAGGCCCGGTCACCCCACTCACCAGGCGGATTCGAGAGCTTGCTGCAAACTGCACGAGGCTTTATTGTAATTTAATGAGCTAACCCCATGTTAGCTCGGGTCTTTCACCCACCTGCCATGGCGGATGGCCAGAAAAGACGGGTCCTAGGGGCTCCCAAAAGATCTTATAGGGCAGCGTAAGGGGAGTGTCTAGGGGTATGCACAGGCTCACGATTGGTGTGCCTCCAGGCTTGGAGGGCTTGCCCTGTGTTGATTGGTCAACTGGTTGTTATGGCCCATAGGCCCTCCCAGGGTGGTTGCTATGCTCTCTACGTCATTGCTGTGCGCTTGTCCGTAAAGCACACCCAGAGCCATAAAGCATAGCGCCACCAGCTAACTTCTGATTGGTTCCTTGTCACGAGACAGGCATTTGACTTTCTAGTGTCTGGGACAAGGTCATAGAAGCACGTGTTTGGCCGTTATGGCTGCCAAAAGGGAAGCTGGTTCCTTCACAATCATCACAGGTTATTTTTATAAGGCACACAGTGACCATACATCATGGGGTCACAACTTTAGCATTGATTGGTGTAAGAACCTCGGAAAGCTCAGAACTCCAGGACCTTAGCCCAGGACCGAGGCCACCCCAATCACCATGTGGAGTCGAAAGCTTGATGCAAACTGCACGAGGCTTTATTGTTGTTTAACGAGCTAATCCCATGTTAGCTCGGGTCTTTCATCCACTCGCCATGGCAGATGGCTAGGAAAGACAGCTCCAACCGGCTGCATAGAAATCTTGTAGGGCAGCGTAAGGGGAGTGTCTAGGGATACGCACAGGCTCACGATTGGTATGGCTCCAGGCTTGGAGAGCTTGCCCTGTGTTGATTGGTCAACTAGTTGTTATGGCCCATAGGCCCTCCCAGGGTGGTTGCTATGCTCTTCGAGTCATTGCTGTGCACTTGTCCGTAAAGCCCACCCAGAGCCATGAAGCATAGCACCACTAGCTAACTTCTGATTGGTTCCCTGCCACGAGGCAGGCATTTGACCTCTTAGTGACCAAGGCAAGGTCATGGCAAGCACGTGTTACTGTCATGGCTGCGAAATGGGGAGCTGGTCCCTTCATTGGAACATGGTTTGCAGGTTACATTAGGCTTAGGAAAAAGAAACTTATACTACTAAGCCATGGAGATTTAAAAACAGTGTATAAAACTGTGGTTTCCTTTTTCTTTTTTTTTTTTTTTTGTTTTTTTTGAGTAGCTTTGGATCCTATCCTGGCACTTGCTCTGGAGACCAGGCTGTCCTCGAACTCACAGAGATCTGCCTGCCTCTGCCTCCTGAGTGCTGGGATTAAAGGCGTGTGGTTTCTAAACAACAATGTGGCTACTGTTTGGTTTCAAACAGCCATCGGCCCTCAGTCTGGTGTTCACCTCCATATCTGCAGCAGGACATGTGTGAATTTCAATCATGACTTTGACATAAATATTAGGCTCAGAGGTCATTTCTGATCTGTATGTTCTGATTTAATCTTACTACAGCATTAAATCATTTTAAAATGATGAAGCAATACTGTGAGGAGTAATCTTTTTGTACACTGTGAAGATCTGTCTTTGCCAAGGCCCCTCTGTTTGGTTTAATACAGCTGAATGGCCAATAGCTAGGCAGGAGAAGAGAGGTTAGGTTTCCTGGGAGAGAGCAGAATAGATGAATCTAGCTGCCCAAAGACACCAGCTACACTGGCGCGAAGTTGGGCACACAGAATGGTGGAGAGGAAAAAAATGCCATGTGGCAGATAGTAGATTAATAATGGGAGGTTAAATCAAATTATACGAGCTACTTGGAGGAAAGCCTAAGCTAAGGCCAAGAGTTCATAAATATTTAGAAGTCTTTCTAAACATGTTTTCCATGCTGCATTACCTCTTCCACTTTTATGCAGGGGGAGGATGAGCTAGGTACTACCTATACTTGGTGTGTCATGCTTTGTTGAAACCCTTGGAGACTGAAGGTAATTAGATGGGTTGGGGGATAGATGGCAAGTGGGCACTGGGGGAAGGGAAAAGGAAGGGGTAAATGTGTCATGTAAAATACGTGAAAATGTTAATTAAATGAAATAAAATTTAAAAAGAAGTCTTTCTGTTATTTTTGGGTGAAGGCGTCATGTAGGGAGTCACCCTAGCCCCGCCCAATAGTCCTGGGGCAGGTACCAGGTGGACCCGGGGACTCGCCCAGAAGGGCGTGGTGAAGGAAAGCCCGGGTGACATAAGGGAGCTTCTTAAGGGGCTGCACGTGGGGACCCGGGGCCCTTTTGTTCTGGCCGCGCTGGCTGGATTCTATAACCTAGCTCTGGCCTGTGTTTTACCTTGGTGTCTTCTGGAATAAAGAGGCATTAATCTTACACGTGGCGCCCAATCTCACGACCCTGATTTGTTTAAAGGCAAATTTAATCCTTAGCCATATCTAAAGGACCAGTCCATCCAAAGTATAGAGACAGAGGTTAGTGTTTTTTGTTGTATTTTTTGGTTATTCGAGACAGGGTTTCTCTGTATTGCCTTGGAGGTTGTCTTGGAACTTGTTCTGTGGACCAGGCTGACCTCAAACTCAGAGATCTGCCTGCCTCTGCCTCCCGAGTGCTGGGAGTAAAGGTGTGCACCACCACTGCCTGGCTAACACAGGTTGGTCTTTAACTTGTAACATAACTTAGTAGGTGTGGGAGAAGTCTATGTGTGCATTAACATGTTCTAAATTCCAGGGTAGTCAAGAGTGGCACTCATGTCTCTTTCAGTTGTCATTGCTCACTCAGAATGTGCTGACTCAACTCTGTAGATGGATTGTTCTTAGGGCTGCCAGCTCAAAAAAAAAAAAAAGAAAAGAAAAAGAAAAAGTCAAAACCCGATATGGAGACTTATTATCAATTAGGAGAGTTCAGCCTACACCTAATGTTTACCCCAATTGCTCTTACAACTTAATCTACTTCTCTGTATCTATACATTGCCAAGTGACTTATGGTTTTTACCTCTCCTCCCACAATTCTTTCTCCCTTGCAGTCTCCCTGCCTTTCTTCTTCTGACACCTGTCTCTGTACAGAAGTCTGGGATATTGGCCATTTAGGTTTTTGCTGAAGCAATCACAAGTTGTCTTTGCAAGCACACATCTTCACAGTGTACAAAAAGAATATTCCACAACACCTCCCTTACACTAATCTCTCAGCCTGAAAAGGGCCCCAAACTGACAAATTTATAAGATATTTGTAAGACCACCACCTACTGGCTTTTCAGTTTTAGCACATTACATTCTCTTGAAACTCACTATCCATCATGTTATCCTGATAACAGCTCCTATTACTAAACAGTTCCCAGTTATTAGTTATCCCAGACTCTTTTACTCATGAGGTCACAACCACTATTAGGGGGGCCAGAAACCTTCAAGGAACCCAGTACAACTTAACCTGTTTCTCTTCATCTACATTTTCCCTGGGGGCTCTTTACCCTTCTTTTTCTCTGTTAGACTTACTTTGCTGCTGTCTCCATGACTGTCTGGAAACTGCCTGGCTTCTGGCCCTGCCTTGTCCCTCTCTCCCTTGTTCTCTTCACTTTTTCCTACAGCCCAGGTTTCTCTTCCTATTCATTGTCTCTGTTGTCTAGCCCCACCTATCGTCTCCTGCCTAGGGCTTGGCCATTCAGCTTTTTATTAGGCCAATCAGGTGCCTTAGGCAGGCAAGATGAAACAAATGCAACACATCTTTAAAAGTTCCCATCATTAACAAAGGCAGCAGACATACATGCACCACATTGATGGGGGGATGTCCTTCTGTATCTATCTTGCTCTTCTTGGTTGATGAATAAACACTGATTGGCTAGTAGAGGCAGGAAGATAGGCGGGGCTAGGAGACAAGAATGATGGGGGAGAGGCAGAAAGAGATGCCATGTAGTGGAAGAAGTATTAACAGTTCTTGACGCTTGTCTGGTAAGGTAAGACTACGTGGAAATACTTAGATTAATATCAATGGGTTAATATTTAAGACAGAGCTGGCCAATAAGAAGCCCTAGGCATTGTCCAACAGATGCCTTTGCTCTATTATTTGCTCCTGAGTGTGTCTCACTCGGCTATACTATCTGCCCTTCATAGTTTGAGCCTTTGCTATATTATTTACTCCTGGGCTTGTGAATCTCTGCTATACTGTCTACTCTTGAGAGTGTCTCTGCTTCCCACAGACTGTAGCTCTAATAAACCATTGTCTTGTAGAGCAAATGTGTTAGCAAATATTAAGTTAAAGTGTGTTCCTTTTCTTCATGTTGCATTTGTTTAACTCTATGAAGCTGTGATGCTCTGTCTAGAACACCTTATGGTCTAATAATGAATTGAACAGCCAATAGTAAGGCAGGAGAAAAGAAGGATAGGCAGGGCTGGCAGGCAGAGAGAATCTATAGAAGGAAAGAAAGGGAGGTGGAGGAAGAGAGAAGTAGCCAGAGAAGAAGCTATCAGGGGCCAGCCACCTTGGCACATAGCAAACCATAGACTTTTAGTAGCAATGATAAAAACAAACTAAAGGGAAAAGCCCAAAGGCAAAAGGTAGACTGGATAATGTAAATTAAGAAAACCTGGCAGGAAGCAAGTAAAAATAAGGCCAGACATTGATAGAGAATATTGTTTCCATGTGTGATTGGTTTGAGGACTGGGTGGTAGGCCTCCCAAAGAGCAAAAATACCACACAACATGAATGTATATCCATTAAGGTTACTTCCATTCATAAGGAAATCTCCCTTTTGTGTTCTGAGGAAATTACTAACTAGGTCTTCAAAGACTACAAGCAGGACAAAAACATAGACTCACATACACACTGTTAGATTTCTGCTTATGGAACATGAACCATGGAGAGCACAAGGAGTATATTAATCATAGAGTTTATTACAATGGAGAGCGAGAGATAGAATAGAGTAGGGCAGAGAGAGAAGAGAAGAGAGCATAAGTGAAGAGGCAGAGGGAAGAAAAGAGAGCGTAAGTGAAGAGGCAGAGAGAAGAAGCAGAGAGCATAAGTGGGCAGGGGTCTGTCTTTTAAAGGGGTCCTCTACACCTGCATGAAGACTTAGTTCCCATGGAACCGTGGGCTGACCAGGGTACTGCCTGAGTGGATTCTGCCAGGTAACAGGGGCAGGCCAGCATAATGCCTGAACCTTTTAATCCCACCTTTACTTATTATTAAAAAGGTGCAGTGTTAGATAAGGCAGATTAAGGAATAAGGGCATCAAGTTCTCAAGACTGCTTCCTGCTGACATGGGGGCGTTGACCATCTTTGGGGGACTGGAGACAGTTGGGGTGCTGCCACGTCCTGGGGTAGCTGCTTGTTTCATCACAGTCCAGGCTGTATGCAACTCCCTGGTGCCTCTTAGACCTGGCAAGATGTTGGCAGAGCTGAGGACAAGGTTAAGATTGTAAGATGAGGGAAGGGTTCCCAAGGGGTCCCAACATGAGGGAAGGGAGTCCTGGGATCAGGGAAAGACTGAATAATATTTATTTGGAGTGAATCGGACCTGTTTTTTTGGATCCAATTCAGCTCCCTGGAACTTACAAGAATCCTTAGAATTTGTGAAAACATAAGCATTAGACACATTAGCATCATATTTATGTTAGAAGTGTCTTGGCTGAAAAAAATTAACATTTTAAAATTGACAGATGTTTTTTAGGACAATGAAAAGCATCTTAATCTTGACCTTGTAGTTATGATCGTATGGTGGTATTGTAGAACTTTACTGACTATGAACAGTAGCATGAGAAATAGAGAAATCTGAAACATATTTCACTCTTTTTAATGTCTCAACTCACTTTATCATCACTTAAGCCTTTTTATCCTCAGACCTTCATAACTTTAATTCATATATCTTACATTACCATCTTAGACCTTCCATTCTCAGACCTTCATAACTTGTATTTATCCACGGTGTTAGACTTTTCCATCCTCAGACCTTTGTAACTACACCCCCAGATCTTCATACACCTTACACTTTCCTATCTTCACACAGATAAACCCTAAAATACCTGTTCCTGAAATTTGTTTTGCTTTAAGCTGGCAAGACAACCAGCTGTCAAAAGCATTGAGAAGGATAAGATTTTACCTGAATTAATGATTAAAGAATAATAGAGGCTTGCCAGCAGGCTGTATAGACAGCCACCCACAAGGTCCTCCATCCATGATAGTGGGCTGCAGGACACCTGCCTTCTTGCTGATAGCATGTGACCCATGGATTAATGACTACAGGAAGGCTTGCCGACTGTTGATCCAAGCAACGCAGGGAAAGTCCATTCCACTGTCCTCTTGTCCTTGGTCTGGAGTACTTTGTAGCAGTTGAGGTGAAGAGCAGGGTTGCTCAGTGGCCAGCATTGCCATTGAGTCAAGATGAAGTTTCTTCAGTGCTCATCAGTCTTCTTGGAGGAAATGGGATGGAGCCAGCCTCTGGCCTATCTCTCTGTTATAGAAAGTGTTGGACCCTCAGAAAAATGAGGTATCCGGGGTCCCAGGCCACGACTGCAGTCACCCCAATCACCAGGCGGATTCAAGAGCTTGCTGCAAACTGCATGAGGCTTTATTGTAACATGTAACCCCATGTTAGCTCGGGTCTTTCACCCACCCGCCATGGTGGATGGCTTGAAGAGACAGCTCCTAGGGCCTCCCGAGAGATCTTATAGGACAACATAAGGGGAAGTGTCTAGGGGTACGCACAGGCTCATGATTGGTGTGCCTCCAGGCTTGGAGGGCTTGCCCTGTGTTGATTGGCCAACTGGTTGTTTTGGCTCAGAGGCCCTCCCAGGGTGGTTGCTATGCTTTGTGCGTCATTGCTGTGCGCTTGTCCATAAAGTACACCCAGGGCTGTAAAGCATAGCACCACCAGCTAACTTCTGATTGGTTCCTTGTCACAAGGCAGGCATCTGACTTTCTAATGTCTAAGACAAGGTCATAGAGCACGTGTTCGGCGTTATGGCTGCTGAAAGGGAAGCTGGTCCCTTCAAAAGCTTTTTAATAAAACATTTTAAATGCCATGTTCTCTAGATAACTGAGCATTTGAGGGCTGTCTGTTTAGTATCTCAGCAGTCAAAAATTTGCCTTTAGTTAGAGAAAAATCCCATTTTGTAGTAAAAAGCTGTACCTTTGTAAATGGCTTACAGGATGGACTGAGTGGTATAAATATTTTGTTAATTTGAAATAGACCTTTATGATTTTGAATGTTAATCATCATTTAAAGATACATAACAATTTAGAAATATGAGACTTAGCAATTTTAATTTAAGTTGCATATAGAGTTGGCTTACAGGATGGACTAAGTGGTATAAATATTTTGTTAATTTGAAATAGACCTTTATGATTTTGAATGTTAATCATCATTTAAAGATACATAACAATTTAGAAATATGAGACTTAGCACAGTTTAAGTTGCATATAGAGTTAGCTAAATATAAAGTAAATTTAAATCACAGTACAGAGACAGGCAGACACATCAGATTTAATGAGACAGAGTAGTCTTAAACAGGGGGCCTGGAAAGACACAGTATTCCATAAATGAGCCATGTGCAACAGGGCCAGTGAAAGAAATCAAGAGACAAAAAAAAAAAAAAAAAAAGCAAAATGTCCGGCAGCCAGGTTTGCTGGCACAGGAGGCTGGGGTGGACGTGCCTACAGGTATATCACATGGTCAAGATGGCGGCACCCAGGTCAGACCATATGGCCAAGATGGTGGCGACCATAGGCACGTTTCCAACTGCTGGCAGGAGTAACAAACAGAAGAGTGAGGGACATTACCAGGTGAAAGAAAGTTCCCACAGAGAGGTAGAAGAAAGCTTGGATGGTACATAAGAGTTTTAGCGAAACAGGACATTCTCAGGTGAAAGGAAGTTCCCACAGAGAGGTGAAGAACTCCTCCCATTTACCTCTTCGCTGGCAGTAACCGGAAAAGGTCCCATAAATGTATTTCCCAAGGGAGAGGCAAGTGAAAACACCGGCAAAAAGCTCCTCTCTGGAAGCCCGTCGGCCTGGGATTGTTGCCAGGGGCCTGGCCCCGAATGGGACTCAGCTGTCCCAAAACCTAAAAGGATCCAGTGGTCCGAACTGACAAGCCAAAAAGCCCCGATCCTGGAGTGGGATTCCTAAACTGATCCTCGGGAAATTCAAGGGATATCTTTCCAATTGCAGTGAACAGGGAGATGAGTGGGTTCCAAAGATCCTTAGTTTGAAAAGTGGTGAGTTGAAGTGTACAGAGTTCTGGCATCTCAGGCTGCCACAGGCAGGAGGAACTAATGCTCTCCATGGTTCATGTTTCATAGAGTGTGCCTTTAAGCAGAAATCTAACACACACAGCAAACTGATCTTTGTTCAAGGTGCATTGCTGACCACATCTTAGACATTTTTGAAAAACAGAAACTTCCCTCACAGCAGTCCATCTCTGTTATTATCTATGATGGAAATGAAAGCTGGAAGCATACTCTCTTTGCCATGTAATCTAGAGGTTTATTCATGTCTCTGTTTTCTCTAATGTGCATATGACATTTACATGTTAATAGACTTTTTTAAAAAACTCAATGATGGAAGGTATGGTTGTGTGGTCTTCTAACTTTCTACACAGCAAAATCAGTTGACTGGTACACTTCCTTCCAACTCTAAAATGAGCAACAAAAAAAGCTGTGATCTCTATGAATGCAGGAGGGAGGGAAGGGAGGGTAAGGAGGCCACTGCTCATCATTCCTCTGTTACACTCATGGCAAAGCCAACTGGAACATACAAGGTGAGTCTGGTCACACATCTCTTGGCATAGCCATACTTGTCTCTTCCTTGAAGTTACATGACAGTGGGGGCCCCTTAGTCCCAAGCATCGGAGCCATACTGGAAGTCTTCTCACTTGCCACTTCACAAGGCCTTCCCAGAAGGATGCTTTTGCTCTGTAAACTTTATGCCAGCCACAACCATGAGCTGTAATCACTGCTAAAACAGATTACAAGGCCTTCCCAGAAGGATGCTTTTGTTCTGTAAACTTTATGCCAGCCACAACCATGAGCTGTAATCACTGTTAAAAACAGATTAAGCTGGGTATGTGTAAAAGCAACAGGGTTTAAAATGATATTATTGGAAAAATTTAATACATAGGTGTTGAATGTCTTATTCAAATCTCCACATTCTTTCACTTATTAGGCATAACCCTTAAAAGCACTTAAGTCTCCCAACATATTTGGCTAATTTTTTTGTTTTTGTTCTTTTTTTTTTTGTTTGTTTCTTTATTCCACTTAGTGCTCCCTCCATGTGTAGGGATGTAGGACAGTTGACAGGACCCTGGAATACTCTCAGAGGACTCTCTCACTCAGAAGCCATCAACTGCCAATAGCTTCTCCACTCAGAGTGAAATACAGTGAAGACTTATGCAACCATGCTTATTGTAAGTGTTGTCTAGGTAGTAACAGCCACAGCATGTGTAAGCATGAGATGGTACTGACATGTCTAGCAATGTTTCAGTGTTCTAGAAATGTTTCAACATTTCTACAGTCACACAGCAGACATCTACTATATCTGGCTCTGACAGTCTTTCTCCCTCTATTTCCTCAGGAATCTATGACTTTGGGCTTTAGATGTGTGGAAGGAACTTCTTTTACATTGTGTGACACAGGTGTCACTTTTAGATTGAGGCTCTCCACAGGCTAATATTGTGTGTATTTTGACTAATTTGCATCTCTGTTTATTCTTCATCTACAGCACAATATTTTCTGGTGGGTGCTGAGAGGTGCCTAACTATGTGGTTATAAAGATGAGAACTTAGGTTCATTTACTGTATCTACTTAGTAGAATTAATTTTAATTAACATTACATTCTTCCTAGGGCTTACCACCTAGCCAGGCAGAAGTATCTCACCAAATTAGTATCACATCAGTTACCGTTTGTGGAATGAGTTTTAAATCCAGTCAGAAAATGACTGATTAGTCTCATAACTTTCTGCCATTATTGCATTACAGACACTGTTGTTTTTATCTAAGGCACAGCAGCTGCAATTGACACTCTCGCTGCCTCACCTGATGACTGGTCCTCTGCAGCTGCTGCTGCTTTGCTCCTGACACCTAAGACCCAAGGTCTTTCAGGTTGGGGTAACTAAGGTCTATCTTTTTATTTTACCAATAAGAATTCAGGAGCCAGATTCGGGGTGAAAACCTGCTACCTCAGAGAGACAAGACCTTCCTACACACCAGGGGAGATATTCCAAGAGTTCTATTGACTCCACTGGGAAAAACAACAGGAAGTATGCCACAGCCAAGATTCCAGACAAACAATAGACATAATTGTGACTCGGTAATGGTTTCATGGAATATTTACAGTTACAGAAGAAAGAGACTCACTAATCAAGACATGTTTCAAACACACTGCTGAAACAAACTGTTGGGGGTTACTGCAAAGAGAAGTCATTACTGCAGGGTTTCTCTGCAGTGTGAACTCTCCTGTGTCTCCTAAGGGATGATATATGCCCATAGGCTTTGTGACATTCTTCACACTTGTATGGTTTCTCTCCAGTATGAACTGTCTCGTGTCCTCTAAGGTCTGACCATGAGTGATAACACCTGCCACACACTTCACACTTGTAAGGATTGTCATCACAGTGAATTCTTTGATGTTTTCTAAGGGATGACGATGAGAAAAAACATTTGTCACACTCCTCACACTTGTATGGTTTCACCCCAGTATGGACTCTCTGGTGATCTTGAAAGTGTGAAAAGGAACAAAACCTTTTGCCACACTCTGCACACTTGTGGGACTTGTCTTCAGAGTGTATTTTTTGATGGTGTGTAAGGGATGCAGAAGATGCAAAACATTTACCACACTCTTCACACTTGTAGGCTTTCTCTGCAGTATGAGCTGTCTTGTCCTCAATGAGCAGAGCAGGGTTAGTAAATCCTTTTCTACTCAGTTCACACTTGTAGATTTTCTCTCTAGTATGAGCAGCCCTGTGGTTCTTAAGGCTTACGTGATAACGAAAGGCTTTGTGACATTCTTCACACTTGTATGGTTTCTCTCCAGAATGAACTAGATGATGAACTCTAAGGGCTGACCATGAGTGAAAACACCTGCCACACTCTTCACACTTGTAAGGATTGTCATCACAGTGAATTCTTTGATGTCGTTTAAGGGATGAAGCTGAGAAAAAACATTTGCCACACTCATCACACTTATATGGTTTCTCTCCAGTATGGACTCTCTGATGTTCTTGAAGGATTGAAAAGAGGTAAAACGTTTTGCCACACTCTGCACATTTGTGGGACTTGTCTTCAGAGTGTATTCTTTGATGTCGTGAAAGGGACGCAGAAAGTGCAAAACACTTGCCACACTCTCCACACTTGTAGGTTTTCTCTGCAATACGAGCTGGCTTGTTCTCAAATCCTTTTCTACTCAGTTTACGATGGTAGAGTTTCTCTCCAGTGTGCACTGCCTTGTGGTTCTTAAGGTTTGAGTGATAACGAAAGGCTCTGCCACATTCATCACACTTGTAGGGTTTCTCTCCATTATGAATCTTTTGGTGACTCTTAAGGAACGAAGGATCATAAAAAGCTCTGCCACATTCTTCACACTTGTAGGGTTTCTCTCCAGAATGAATTCTTTGATGTTGCTTCAGCATTGAAGGATAGTAAAATGATCTGCCACATTCTTCACACTTATAGGGTTTTTCATCAGTATGATTTTTCTGGTGTATAAAAAGTGATGAGCATGTACTGAAGGCCTTATGACATTCTTTACACTTGTAGGGTTTTTCTCCAGTGTGAAGTCTCTGGTGTATAGAAAGTGTTTTAGAAGATCTAAGGACCTTACCACACTCCTCACACTTGTAAGTTTTCTTCCTCCTATGAAGTCTCTGGTGTATAGAAAGTGTTCTATAAGAACTAAGGCCTTTACCACATTCTTTGCACTTGCATGGTTTTTCCTTTGTATAAATTCTCTTGTGTTGAATGCTTACTGAGTTACAATCAATGGTCTTGTTGTAAACATTGTAATTATTGGTTGTTGTTCCTGTTGAGCAAAAGTTGAGATAGGAACAAAAGTTAGGAAATATTCTCTATTCTCAATCTTTTATAAAGGAAACATTTACTCATACGTATTGAAGCATCAGTGAGAACCTATAGTACACTGCAAACCCTATTGGCACTAAGCATAGTTGATAAAATATTCTAGGTAGAAATTATATATACTTCTACTAGAATAAGGGCACAGCCATAGAACATACACATAATATTATTTGAAGTTTAATAGCTAAGTAGGTTGTAAGTGCATTTTTCTAAGAGAAATAAGTACATTAAACACAGATTTTATATAGCCTGACATGCATAAAAGTATAAAGTAAAAAATTGTAGAGGATCCTGAATGAAGGTAGCATAATAATTGCCATCTTGTGCCTTCTATTACTATTTTAGGAACTAACACCCATTTAATTTTTGGGATCTTCAAATCTGTTTATCTTCTTGTAAAGCATATGCCCATGTCCATGGTCAGCTGCAGCCTTATCTCCTAGCAAACACATCCTTCCTGGATAACGGCCACTTTCACCCACATCCTGCTTGGCCAGGAGTTGTCCAAACATCCTGGCAACACATCCTGCAGGTGGCTTGCCACTTTCCCCTACTTCCTTATCCTCTCACCCTACTTAAGCCCTGCTTGTGTGCTTAAAAAATGAGACATGATCAGAATACTGTCTTGTCTCCATCTCTTGCCCTTTCATCCTCACTACCTCCCTCAGGGTACCCATTGACTAACCCCTTGGCCTGAGGCAATTGGTGCCTAACGTGGCCTTGGGTACAAGGGCATCAGTGAAGAATGTCACTGAGGAAAGCTGGCTACATCAGTAATGAAGACAGAATAGAGGAAGGCATTAGATGGGAGCTTGCCGCTATGATGAGACCTGGGTAAGTCAGCGACGATTATGGGGCAAGAAATAAGCCAACATGAGTTACTTGTTGAAGGCCTCAAAAAGGCACTTAAGATGCAGGGTTTGTTAAAATTTTTTAAGGAAGTTTGTCCTTGGTTCCCCACTGTAGGGAGAGACCTGGATACCAGTACGGCTGAACACGCCCATTTGGGTGTGGTCACAGGTATGCAGAGGAGTAGGATAAAGGGCGAGAAGAAGGGCTCGCCCTCTCTCGGGGTTCAGGCAAGGTCTTGGAGGCATTTGGGATCTTGGCAGCTCGGAGTGCCTGTGTGAGTTGTTCTCATTTATAATACACCATCAATAGCCATATCTTGTGTATGGTTGTGTTCCTTTTCACCCCACTGAAGGGACCATAGATGAAAAAAGATGGAAAAGAGTGGGGGATGCTTTAAAAGATTATTATAGGATGTTTGAACCTGAGAAAATTCCCATTACTGTCTTTTCCTATTGGAATTTAAGTGATGAAAATATATCTCAAAAACAATGTGATCCTATTGTGGCTGATCTGATTAAAGAGGGAGAAAAATGAAACCCACGGAGATCAAAAAAATTAGAGGTCAAAAACTTAGAACAATTCAGTGAGGAAAAGGACCTCATGTCTTTTGAGAGTGACTCAGAATTAAAAAAAAAAAAAAAAAACTAACCCACTGACTCAAGATAGAGAAATTAAGTAAAACCCTCCCTCTAAGCCTCAAATTAAAAAGGATTTAGAAGCCAAGCCTAAAATCAAGAAAATATACCCATATCTAAAAAAATTTTCAAAAAATCCACACCCTACAGAAGACAGTCTGAGTGATACAGATTAGGAAGATTTGAAGGAAGAGGCGGCTAAATATGAGGAGGACTGGCCTCCCTTAATTGAACATAGGCCTCCATACATGCCTCCCCCAATGGCTCCTTCCTTAGCTTACCCTGTTCTAACTCCTCAAAAGGAGTTATAGGACAAAATTCTATATCTTAAAGAACAGATTCACCTAGAAAAGGAGCATCAGGATTTGATAACACAGCTGGAAAGCTTAAAAACTGGCAAAGCTGCTGAGACTTCACAAAAGCGCACCATTAGGCCACCCCCTAGGGGAGCTTCCCCTAAGATACCCCTTAAGACCCAGCAACAGATAGACTTTGACAATCTAAGTGCTTTTCCAGTGGCAGAGACTACAGACAACCAAGGCAAAATTTGGCAACAACATTCCAATTTTGACTTCCATTTTATTAAGGAAGTCAAAACTGCAGTCTCGCAGTATGGTGCCACAGCCCCATACACTACTGCCATTATAGAATCAATTGCCAATAAATGGCTCATTCCCTCTGATTGGTATACTCTGACCAGAGCAACCTTGGCAGGGGGGGACTACCTGTTAAGGAAATCAGAATTTGCAGAGGCCTGTAAATAAACTGCAAAAATAAATGCTCAATACAATAATGGCTGGAATGTACACATAGTAATGGGAGAAGGAGATTTTGAGGCAGAGGATGTACAAATGGAGTATGACCCTGGGCTATATGCCCAAATCCAAGTGGCTGCCACCAAAGCATGGAAGAGACTGTTCACTAAGGGAGATATGAGCTCTTCCCTTACTAAAGTTAAACAAGGACCTGTTGTTCATCGCCTTCTAATAGCTGCAGGAAGGATTTTTGGAAACACTGATTCAGGTACCAATTTTGTCAAACAGCTTCCAAAAATGCAATGCAAATTCTGCCTGTCAAGAGGCTATTTGGCCATATGCGTTGGGGGGCGGGGCAAAGACCTCTCAGGCTACATTCGCCTCTGTGCTGAAATAGGTATAGCTTATCAGCAGAGCCTTGCCACGGCAGCAGCCATGCAAGGTACTACTGTTAAACAATTCTTATCTAATCAAAGCAGAAACAAATGTTTCAATTGTGGAGGATCTGGCCATTTTGCAAAAACTTGTCCACAAAAACAAAGAGGCATGCCTCAAAAGGCCCCTGCCCCAGCACTCTTCCCAAAATATAAACGAGGAAAACACTGGGCTAACAAATGCCGGTCTAAAACTGATGCACAAGGCCAGCCTCTGCTCCCCAATAACAACCAGGGAAATGGGTACAGGGGCCAGCCCCAGGCCCCCAAACCCAAACAAGTTTATGGGGCAGTCATCTTTGTTCCAGCAGGAAACAATCTATTTCCATCCTCTATAGAGCAACGCCAGGCAGTGCAGGACTGGACCTCAGTTCCACTACCTACTAGTGTACAAGCCATTCCCACAGGGGTCTTTGACCCCCTACTACCAAATACATTCAGACTAATTGTTGGCTGCAGCAGCATAATGGTGCACAGGTTACAAATTTTTCTAGGAATAATTGACAATGACTATGAAGGTGAGATCAAGGTCACAGTAGCCTCCCCAACTATAATTAATCTTCCATCTGGACAACACTTTGCTCAGCTATTGATACTTCCCTTGCTGCATACTGGTAATAAAAACATGGCTAATAAAAGAGGAACTGATGGCTTTGGATCTTCAGATGCCTATTAGATAGAGGTTATATCTATAATAAGCCCCACCATGGTCTTAAAATTAGATAACTTTTTTCTCAGGGCTGGTAGACACAGGTGCAGATGTCACTATCATCAAAGAGGAAGAATGGCCATCCATCTGGCCTCTAGAGGAAATTCTAACACACCTAAGAGGCATAGGACAGAGTAAAAACCCCAAATGGAGCACCAAGCTATTGACCTGAAAAGATTCTAAAGGCCACTCTGGGCAAATCCAGCCATATGTCATTGCTGGACTCCTAGTCTACTTATGGGGTTGAGATCTGCTACCCCAAATGGGAATCATCATGTGCAGCCCTAATGAAGTCGTAACCATGCAAATGCTTAAAACCGGCTTCACACTCGGCAAGAGCCTGGGTAAGAGCCTGGGCAAGCATGAGACTGGCATTAGACAGCCTATTTCTGCTGTACCTAAGAATGATCACACAGGCTTAGGGTATTTCTCTTAGGGATCATTGGCTGTCCTGTGGCCCACGCAGAAAAAAATCACATGGCTTTCTGATGAAGCCATCTGGGTTGATCAATGGACCCTTTCCTCAGAAAAACTTGGTGCTGCTCAACAGCTGGTACAGGAACAGCTTGAGGCTGGCCATATCCTGCCTAGTACCTCCCCTTGGAATATCGCTATTTTAGTCATCAAAAAGAAATCTGGGAAATGGCGTCTTCTACAAGACCTTAGAGCTGTAAATAAAACCATGGTTTTAATGGGAGCCTTACAACCTGGTCTCCCTTCTCCTGTTGCAGTTTCTTTAGGATACTTTAAAAGCATACTTGATTTAAAGGATTGTTTCTTTACTATACCCTTACATCCAGATGATCAGAAATGCTTTGCCTTCAGCCTTCCCTCTCCAAATTTTCAGGAACCCATGGCATGTACTTCCTCAAGGCATGGCTAATAGTCCCACACTCTGCCAGTCCTTCATGGCAGCTGCCATCCAAACAGTTGGAGATTCGTAGTCCCAAATGTTTATCATTCATTATATGGATGATATCCTCTTAGCAGGACAAAAGGGATAAGTGTTATAAAGAATTAGGTGATGTTTTAAAAGTAAAAGGACTATAGATAGCTCCAGATAAGGTACAGTTAAAGAATCCCTATACCTACTTAGATTTTCAAAGGTTTGAGGATAAAATCCTGTCTCAAAAAAATTAAGACTGGATAGGCTTTGCACCCTCAATGATTTTCAAAAATTATTAAGGGATAATAATTGGTTATTACCCTAACTAAGAATTAGTAAAGATGAATTAAAGTGTTTGTATGTCATTCTCCCTGGCAACCCTGATCCAGCTTCACCTTGACAACTCTCCCCTGAAAGATGTGAGGCTATAACTATTGTAGAAAAGGCAATCCAAACACAACAAATTACATACATGGACAATAGCCGTCCATTATGGTATATTATCTGTAAAACAGCACAAACGCCTACAGCTGTTTTCTGGCAAACTGCTCTCCTATTATGGTTCCGTCTACCAATAAGCCCAAAGAAGGTATTAAACCCTTATTTTCAACTAATCTCAGATATTATTCTTAGAGGCAGAAGACAAGCTAAGGCCTACTTTGGGTCTGAGCCA